ATGCTATCACTATGCTATCAACTTTATTTTTTTTTTCTTCTCAAAAACGCACAGGAAAAAATCTCGACTGTCTACGACTAATTTCTCGAATGAATCTTTGACATCCCATTGCTTCGCCCCCTTCAAATTTACCAGTCATCACTAAGTTATCAACTTTATTTCCTTCTATAACTCAAAGTAACATACAGTATCTTGTTTACCTGCTATGAATCTCTCTAACGAATTCAATTTTTGTGTTTCTTAAGGGGCTGCCTCATCCCCGCCACCTTTCTGTATCATTTGGTGGTATTCAATGCATTTTCCTAAGAAAGCACATTTCTGTTGGACCTTACGTCGTGAAGCCGGCGTGATACTGACCACATCATTAACGAGTGTCAATTGGTCAACGAAATAAAGGTCTTGCTATACGTGCCCAAATCGCCTGAAGGGCTGGAAACGGGTCCTATACTTTACATGTCACGCAACTAGTGCTTATTATCACCTCCAAGATGTTGAGTTAAAATCTGCATCGAGGCAGAGTTTTTTTAAACTGACCTTGACTGCCAGATCGACCCAGCCTAAAATGGGTCACATGACATTCAGAAACCCCTCCCCCTCCCTTTTTTTTTAAACTTCCGTGAAATGTGTGTAGGGTGTGTGTCTGTGTCATCGTCTCGGCGCCCCCCCCCCCCCCCCCTCTCCCAAAAAAAAAACATCTCTTTCTCTGTCTGTGTGTGTGTATATGTGTGTGTGTATGTGTGTTGAGGATCACTTGTGTAGTCGTAAACATCCTGGTTTGCATACGGAGTTGTAATTAAGCTTAAACTTCTTCCTCTTTTATTTATGACTTGCTGGTTACATTATCTTCATAATAAAGATACTTCTGTCTCTTATTCCCCAATGGAGCAGAAGTGCTCAACCAGCTAAGGGTAGATCATCCTAAATCGTGCTGAACATCGCATGTTCTCCCAATCTTTCTCATCTCCATATCTCTCTTTTTCTTGTTCTCTCTATCTTTCTCTCTATCTCTCTCTCTCTCTCTCTCTCTCTCTCTATGTCTGTCTGTCTGTCTGTCTGTGTGTGTGTCTCTGTGCTTTGCTCTCGTGTGTGTGTGTGTGTGTGTGGTGTGTGTGTGTGTGTGCGTGTGTGTGTGTGTGTGTGTGTTGGCCTAATTCTGTTGACTTTCATTCCTTGCCTGGTCCAGACTTGAGGTTACTTCTAACGGTCCGGGGCTCCAATAAGACAGCTGAACATGGCTGATTAGCAACATATAGGATTCTCATCATGGGGGCGTAATCTTGTGGACTGTAATTCTGCAGGTGTCACACGTCAATGAAATCTTTTGTTCCAGTGGAAGCTTATTCATATTATATTCGTATTATATTTTCTTAATGCGCGTCCTTTCTAACTGTCGTTTTCACTGCTGGATCAACAATTAAAAAACTAATACTGTGTGCTGTTTAAACAATAGAGGTTGGGTGCACGTACAGCTGTTGGTGTCATAGGCAATGTTTCGTGGAGAAGCTCAACTCTATTATATAGGCGTGTCCGGTACCATTGTCCACACCAATGTCGGCAGCACCGTACTATCTGCACCTCTGTCCGCAACACTGACCGCTCCGCACCATTGTCCGCACCGATCTCCACAACATTATCCGCACCATTGCCCGCACCGATCTCCACAACATTATCCGCACCATTGCCCGCACCGATCTCCACAACATTATCCGCACCATTGTCCGCACCGATCTCCACAACATTATCCGCACCATTGCCCGCACCGATCTCCACAACATTATCCGCACCATTGTCCATACCGATCTCCACAACATTATCCGCACCACTGTCCGAGTGCCTAGAAAGCGTATTTGGGAAAAACTAAGCCAGAGATCGCTAGACGACCGTCTGCGGATCGGAAGGTGGTGGGTTCGCGTCCTGACAAAGCCAGACTTGTTTAAAAAATGACCTTAATACTCAGCTCGACCCAGCCTTGAGTGGGTACCAGGTGCAGTCCTAGAAAGTAAAAGCGACAGGTGTGTTGCTGACCGCATCACCCAGCAAGCACTGTTTGGTCTATAAAATATAGGTCTAGCCCTATATTCCCATTACGCATATAGGCGTGGAAAGGGATCCTTTACTTTACTGAAAGCCGCAGCTCCGTATGGACGCAAGCTAGGTCTACAACTATGCTCACAACCCACAAAGCAAAAAGCACAGGTCAAGAAGGAACAATTTCTCTCCGGGAAGACAACTAAGAAGGTATGAGAAATTGAAGAAAGTCAATCGAGGAATTACAACAGTTGGCCCACAATAGCCATGCTGAAGAAATATACACAATGAATACACAGCAAGGAAAACAAAACACGCAAACTGATGGATAGATGGCATCAATAATAACCTTTAAAAAAAGAGCACAGTATATCACGCATTAGACAGAATGAGCAAACAGACAATCCTTACATTCTCTCTCTCACACCCCCCTTCCCCCCATCCTTTTCCCCCGCGCAATAAGAGAAAAAAAGTTGATAGCTGAATGTTGAATTAATCATCAGCATCACAGCACTTATGACACTCTCATAAGCCCTCCGTCTCCATCTTCTAGAGCAAGCAAACAGTCACGCCAGGAACAGTCTGTTCGAAATCCGTCTCGTCTCCCTCCTAAGTTTTGGGAGCCGTCGTAGTCTAGCAGCTGGACGCAGGTCGTTGGTTAGATTTCTGACGAGATGTTTTTTTCATCCAAAAATGACCTTGACTCCCAGGTCGACCCAGCCTTGAGAGTGTACCAGGTACAGTCCTGGGAAGTACAGGCTATCGGCGTGATTCTGACCACATCACCCACCGAGTGCCCTTTGGTTTATAAAATATAGGTCTAGCCCTGTATGCTCAATACGCATGAAAGGCGTCGAAAAGGGTCCATTACTTAACTTTTACTTTTCCTTAAGTTGTGAGCGTCAACGAGATTCCCTGCGCACTTCTCTCAACACCATTCTCCTGACTCCGTGATGATCTACTCGTTCATCGGCACTGTTCGCTCGCTCTCGGTAGACAAAGAGATGAAGAAGCAGTAGAACTACATAAAAGGAGTGACTGGGTGAGATAGCTCAGAACCCATGCACCATTACACTACCACCATGTGCCGCACTGACAAGAGCAGAGGGCCTTGATTTTCCATTTTACACAACTACGAATCAATTCAATGCTGTTGTCCCCTTCAATCATGTATTTAAGCTGACATGTGTTTATCTCTTTGTCCTCATATTAGTGAAAAGCAGGCAGACAATTGCAGATAACTTCAACTTCTTCAGAAGCCGCAACAACGAGATTACATTACCGCTAGTTAATGAGATCTGCCAGGCGTTTGTGCGTCTATCCAATCAATACCCCGACTGCATTTGTACGCCTCATGGCAGGTGTCTTTGTAACACACAACAGATACTTGTTTCATCCGTTTCCGTGGCAACAAGAAAAGTCACCTATCCGCTATTTTATTCGTTCCTAACTGGTGGCCAGGGGCAAAGCGGAACTCATTCAAGGGGACCCCAATATAATTTAGAAAAACATCAAGTTTATTTTTATTTTTATTCAACGGCTCAACATCATGGCATTTCGACACAGACAGACAGACAGACAGACAGACAGACAGACAGACAGACAGACAGACAGACAGACACTCAGACAGACAGACAGACAGACAGACAGACAGACAGACAGACAGTTAGACAGACAGACAGACAGACAGACAGACAGACAGACCGACCGACCGACAGACAGACAGACAGACAGATAGACAAACAGACAAAAATGATACCCAAAGAACAGGGCACAAAGAGAGGGGGAACACGAGACCTGCATTAAACAGATCTTGGAGTGAGGAGAGGGAACCTTGCTTACAAACATGCACCAAACTACAAATCTTGGAGTAAGGAGAGGGAACCTTGTTCACAAACATGCACCACACATACAGATCCTGGAGTAAGGAGAGAAAACCTTGCTCACAAACATGCACCACACATACAGATCTTGGAGTAAGAAGAGGGAACCTTGCTCACAAACATGCACCACACATACAGATCCTGGAGTAAGGAGAGGGAACCTTGCTCACAAACATGCACCAAACTACAAATCTTGGAGTAAGGAGGGAGAACCTTGCTCACAAACATGCACCAAACATACAGATCTTGAGTAAGGAGGGAGAACCTTGCTCACAAACATGCACCAAACATACAGATCTTGAGTAAGGAGGGAGAACCTTGCTCACAAACATGCACCACACATACAGATCTTGGAGTAAGGAGGGAGAACCTTGCTCACAAACATGCACCACACATACAGATCTTGGAGTCAGGAGGGAGAACCTTGCTCACAAACATGCACCACACATACAGATCTTGGAGTAAGGAGAGGAACCTTGCTCACAAACATGCACCAAACTACAGATCTTGGAGTCAGGAGAGGAAACCTTGCTCACAAACATGCACCAAACTACAAATCTTGGAGTAAGGAGAGGAAACCTTGCTCACAAACATGCACCAAACTACAAATCTTGGAGTGAGGAGAGGAAACCTTGCTCACAAACATGCACCAAACTACAAATCTTGGAGTGAGGAGAGGAAACCTTGCTCACAAACATGCACCAAACTACAAATCTTGGAGTAAGGAGAGGAAACCTTGCTCACAAACATGCACCAAACTACAAATCTTGGAGTCAGGAGGGAGAACCTTGCTCACAAACATGCACCACACATACAGATCTTGGAGTCAGGAGGTGGAGTATGCGAGAAAAGGTGAACTGAAGGAAGATCCGGGCTGTCATAATTAGTTATGGACAAAAGTGGGATACATGAAAAATATTGTGAATAAAAGTGATAAAATAAGACCGTTTGAAAATGATATAGAAGAGAAAGAGAATAATTAGAAAGTGTGAAAGATATATAAAAAAAAAAAAAAAAACATCCAGATCAAGTATGAGAAAAAGTAGAAAATTAAGTAAGTAAGCCCATGAGAATCACTGAAGATATTACCTCTTCGCCAACAAAGCCAGAACCTGCAGCCACATCCAAGATAGTGATTCTCTTTCGTTCAGCCTCGTCTGGAAACTGCTTGGCGGTAAAGTCTGCTGCTATGATTGGGCCTTTGTAGTTTTCTGCCCTCAGATCCTACAAATAAAACACGCATTTAATTATCAGTTTTTATATACCTAGTCATCCCTTTGAGGAGTGTAATTTTTTTTTTTTTTTTTTTTTTTAAGAACCCACCCTGGCTTTAGCCGGGGGCCCGGAATATTTAGTTGGGCCACAAATGTGGTCATAACGACTGAAAGGGAATTCTGGGACCTCTTCACGGGTGATCCTTATCTGAATGGTGGCACTTTGTGTCACCGGGTATTCATTGCGTGATGTCCTGGTAGGGTACAACAAGAAAGCAAGCGATTATCAGTATTTTGGGATAGAAAGACTGCATTCATTATCATAAAGAAGCAGCCATCATTTTTGTATCACATTATAAGGACACATAAAATAAGGATAATAACAACTGTATACACAAGGGAACTGAATTGTCGTAGATCACGCGGCATACCCCGAAGATGATGGAAAGATAATATCCATACAGACCTACAAACATTCAGTTTCATCAACAGGAAAGAGAAGGCCAACCACAGACGTGAATCTCAACAGCAATGAACCTCAAGAGCTCGGAATGCTGAGAAGGAGAAAGAAGAAAAAGACAGAGGAGGCGCAGAGGAAGAATAAGGAGGAATAGAAGAAGTAGAAGAAAAAGAAGAAAAAGAAGAAGAAAAAGAAGAAGAAGAAGAAGAAGAAGAAGAAGAAGAAGAAGAAGAAGAAGAAGAAGAAGAAGAAGAAGAAGAAGAAGAAGAAGAAGAAGAAAAATAATAATAATAATAATAATAATAATAATAAGAAGAAAAAGAAGAAGAAAAATAAGAAGAAGAAGAAGAAGAAGAAGAAGGAGAAGAAGAAGAAGAAGGAGAAGAAAATAGGAAGAAGAAGAAGAAGGAGAAGAAAATAGGAAGAAGAAGAAGAAGAAGAAGAAGAAGAAGAAGAAGAAGAAGAAGAAGAAGAAGAAGAAGAAGAAGAAGATGAAGAGAAGAAGAGAAGAAGAAGAAGAAGAGAAGAGACGAAGAAGAAGAAGAGAAGACGAAGAAGAAGAAGAAGAAGAAGAAGAAGAAGAAGAAGAAGAAGAAGAAGAAGAAGAAGAAGAAGAAGAAGAAGAAGAAGAAGAAGAAAAAGAAAAAAAAAACATAAGGAGAAGAAGAAGAAGAAGATTATAAGGATACAACAACTGAAGAAGTTTGTGACAGGTGGAAAGACCTGTGAAAAAAAGAAGAGGTAGAGGATGACGTCATCATCGATGAGCCGGTCCTCTACAGAACGTCGCTTTCGTCACGCCAGCCATGAAAGTCTCTCTTTCTCTAGCCAATTCTCCCGCTTTATTTGCTTCCAAAGCTAATACATATTCAGTGTTTTGTGTGCGCCTTCACGGAGATTCCATTCTGCCTCGGTTCCCGACAACTGTACCCTCTATCTCACACCTCTCCGTGACGTTCAGCATGGCCAAAACACTTCAGTTCTCGGGACAGGATGCTGTTTATGAGCCAGTTCTCCTCGATGCCCAGATCATGAAGGATGTCGGTGTTTTTTGGTTCATGGTGTTATCGGAATTTTTCTGTAGCATTTCAGCTCAAGAGCTCCGATTTTATCCTTGTTGCATGAAGTTGGAGATCGCAAGAGATGATCGCTAAAGTTAGTTAGTAAGGCACTTGATGATGCTGGTTATAATGATCACTATGAAGTTAGGTACTGCTGAATGTTGAATGTTGAATTAAGAATCGACACCACATTGCTCGGTACACTCTTATAAGTGCTCCGTCCCCATCTTAGCAGCGAAGGAAGAGTTCATATTCCGATGGCACTAGTAACTGTATGACTGTACATCCGTCTCGCCTGTCCCATGAGTGTTGAGCTTCGGCCACATCCCCTGGTAACTCCCCGCAGCACCACTCTCCTCAGACAGTAATGATCTATGCATGGACTTAATAATAGATACTGTTGATATTAATTGCAACCCGTGCAACGAGATTCCCTAGAGAGGTGTGACATTATACCTCTCGAAGAGCGGCTCAAAAACGCCAACCCACTCCACCCAACTCGCCCACACCGAAACAGTGGAAACTACAAGCAATATTGGCAATTTCTTGTAGCCTTGAGTTAGCTACGGGGACGGATGTTGACCACATCGAGGACCGCCTTGTCTATTAACAAGTGACTGAGGCATCATAGAGCCGATGTGCTACTGACATTCAAAAAATGGTTCTTTAATTAATCATTTATATATGGAGAAACTGCATGTTCTGTAAAATTAAATCAGGCAAGCTGTATAATGATTGTTTCATATAATACTTGCTGTTGTAACTATTCTAATCGCCCTTCAACATCTGCTAATGTCACAGTGTCTGTCTCCCAACACCAAGATCTAAATATATAGTTTACGACGAATCTTTGGACCCATCAAAGATGCTAACAGCGGGGAATGGAGAGTGACAAGCAATAACAAAATTCATAATATGTTCAAAGCACCATTGATCCCTGGCATCATGAGAGCTAATAGACTGAAATGGTTAGGGTATATTGAAAGAATGTCAGACGACAGAGAAATAATAACTGTATACACAAGGGAGATGAATGGTCGTAGACCACGAGGCAGACCAAAAAGAACATGGAGAGATAATGTGCAGACCTGCAAACACTTGGTGTCACCAACTGGAAAGAGAAGGCCGACCAGCGAGATGAATGGAGGCGGGTGATATCTATAGCAATGAACCTCAAGGGATCGGAACGCTGAAGAAGAAGTTGTAACTATACAAAATATTAGAGCGTAGGGTGATGGAAGTCCGCGCTTTATCCTCCCATTGCAGCTCGTACAAATCCGGTACGGTTGGGAAGCTCTCGGCCACGAGTGTCTTCTAATCTGTGATAAGCTTCTTACACTCAAAAAACAATAGTGTTTTTTTTTTTTTTTTTTGCTACTCGTGTTGACTTTACTTGTTTCGTCTTTTCAGGAAAAGAGCGGCAAATTACCGAGAATACTTAAGCAGTGAAGATAAATTACAGCGTAATCCAGTGGTATTCTAGTGGCTAGAGCTCTTTTTGTCAACAGGGGCTTAAGGATTTGAAAACCATACGCACTATTACTGATTATAACGTATGCTGACAAAATACACCAGACCACGTCCGACTTTAGCTAAACAGAGTCGGACGTGCACCAGACAGAGCCTAGTACTGTCCCAGTGTTAAATGCAACGCTTTTTTGTTTTTTGTTTTAAATCCCTATCCTGGCTGTTGCCGGGGGCGCTATATATAACCCAATCTATGGGTTGAACGTGGTTTCTGGGACCTGTCCCCCCCCCCCCGGGGGTGGGGGGGGAAGGATCCTTGTCCGAAAGATGGCATTTTGTGTCACGAGTGTTTTGTCGACGTTTTGTTATGTCCTTATGGTGTTGAAGGTCAGTCAGAGCTCAGTAGAGGGTAAGCGAAGATAAGCCAGGTCAAAACTTATTGGGGATAAATTGTTCTTCACAACCGAAATTCGCCACATTCGAGATCACCCTAAGCTGTCTGTGCTATAAAAGTTTTTGAAATAATATAACATATTTAAACTCATGATAACACAGTCCTCCTGTCGAGCAATGTAAAGTGAACATACTATATAGTCTTGTCAGTTCTAAAACCCAGTGATGATCAACAAATATTCTTGAATTTAAAGAAAACAAATAATGTTCACAAACAAAACTGGCTAATTAAGAAGAGACCGTCTGTACGTGGTTACAGGGACCATTTAGTCCCCTTGCAATTTTGTGGGAGAAAAGAGCTGGAAGTTCAGACCCCCCCCCCCTTTTTCCGCCTTTCAACCTCAATAATATTTTTTGAGTGAGGGGCTTAAAAGGGTCTGAGCTCCCATGCCCCCGCGCCTATGACATATAATGATTTTAGTATAATGGAAACCTATTATATTAAAAAGTAAATTGAATGACAACATCCAGAAACTGCCAGGACTGGATTATAATACATTTGTTCAACAAGCAGAAGACAAGACAAAGATGGAGAGTTTTGTGAACTAGTGCTTTCATGGACACACCTTTACGACAATAACAGGTCAAGGGGTAAATTATTCATATTATTATGTTATTATTAGATTAACCGACAACATACAGCGAGTTGAATACAATATAAAAATGGGCTATCCTCCGAAAATAACGGTCCCAAATTATCGAGGCCGAAAATATACCCTAACAGGGCCTCAATCACATGTAAATTGCGAACTTCCTCAGCCTCGATAATTTGGGACTGTAAATCGAAGGATAGCCTAAAAATGAGTTCAGGAACTCACCTTTTCATATTTGGCGTCCTTTGCCCACTGTGTGTATCTCTCGGATATCTCCTGAAGCGACAAACCCGGTACATGAGCGAAGTCATTTGCTGCTGATTCATCGGCCATTTCTAAAATGTCTAGACTTCGGTCCTGGATTTAAAAAAGAAACAAATCAAACGATTTAAATGCAACAAGGGCAAAAAAGTAAATGGTCTCAACATTTGTTTGAATGTGTGCCGTCTTCTCAGTGATGCTGGCTGGACGGGAAGTGCTTTAACTGCTGACGTAGGCAATAATACAATTGAAGACCCAGTCTCTACTCAGCCAGACTCCTGTTACACAAAAGTAAAGAACCCCTTTGAACGTTTAGTTCTAGACCTATATTTTATAAACGAATCGGCACTAGGTCAGTGATGTGGTCAGCATAACGCCGACCGCCTTTACCTCCCACGACTTGTACCTGGTACCCACCTAAAGCTGGGTCGGCCCGGCTCGCTAGCGTAGTTGGCTAAACCGGATGGCGCGGTGACCAGGTGACTAACTCCTTGTGGTCCGGGTTCACTCCCGGGGGTAGGCAGAAAAGCCACATTTCTCCCAGATTTACGGTATTTATCATGGAATCAAGGCCGAAAGGTTGCGATATCCATAATACCGAGTCTAAGGGTTAACAACTCATGGCCTCTCGATACTTAAAAAAAAAAATCTGGGTTGACCTGGGAGCAAAGGTCATTTTAAAGAGAAAAAATATGCCTCCGTTTTGATTCGAACCCACGTACTTCGGATCCGCAGGTCAGCGTCTAGTCTCTACACGACAGAGGCTCCCGAGATTCTTGTATCACTATTCAAAACCGACAGATCGGTCTTTTCTTTTTAAACCAACCCCTAAAGAGCGGAGCTTTCCAACCTTTCATATTCATGAAACACTTTTTAAACAAGCAGAATTTCGCGACACAGTAGTTCAGTCTATATGCAAACCAGAGGTTAAACTAACCCGTTATAGGAGATACAGATACATAATTTACATTCAAGCGACACACTTTCACACTGCAGCCGACATACTAATGTGTTGAGACACAGTTTTGAAAACTAACCTATTGTTTGTTTGTTTTAGTATCCAGAAGCCATGAGTTGTTAACTCTTAGGCTCGGTATTATGGATATCGCAACCTTTCGGCCTTGATTCCATTGTAAATACCGTAAATCTGGGAGAAAATGTGGCTTTCCTGCCTACCCCCGGGATTGAACCCGGACCACAAGGAGTACGTCACCCGGTCTCCGCGAAATCCGGTTTAGCCAATTCCGCTAGAGAGCCGGGCGAAAACTAACCTATACAACCAGACTGTCAAAAAAATGACTATGGCTGCTGGTCACGTAACATGGTTTTGTAAAGTCCTTGGAAACACGGTAGTCAGGACAACCAAAATGACAGCGTCACCGGTGGTACAATGCCAGCCCCTGGCTGTTGCGTGGTTTTATTAGACAAATTTACGTCCAGTAGTTTGCCATTGCTTTCTGGGCGGTCGGCTTTAAATGCCAGTAATTTTACTTTATATATGTAAGTGAGCTAAAGGAGTAAAGGACTCGTTTCAAAGTCTTTTGGCGAATTGGGCATATAGGGCTAGAACTATCTTTCATAGACCAATCGTGTTCTGGTCAACATTACGTCGTCGCGTTTACTTTCCTGGACTGTAGCTCTATATATGAGTGGCTCCTAATGAGATAAAACCCCTCGAACCTCAAGGCTATGCTGTGCTATGATACAGACATGCGGCCGCATTAGGCGGCACAGGGGGGGGGTGGGGGGGGGGGGGGGGGGGAGAGGACGCGGCATAAGTTTCGAAATACAAAAACATTTTTTTAATTCTGAACTTTTGATCTGACGGCCCGAAGATATTAATTAGAAGCGGCATTTCAAAGACTTGCCTAGTACTGCACACAACTGCTCGAATTCCTCTTACTTTTCTGTAAACGTACCATAAACCCCTATGTTTAAAAGTGGCATATTTGGAGGGGGAAAAACGGTACTTTCTTATTAACCGACCACAAACAGGGGAAATCCACAGGTAATGAGACAGTCAAATATTTTAGGGGAGAGGGTGGTAGATTAAGCGTATAGATTTGGTTAGGGATAAGGTTATGCTTAGAGTTAGGGTAAGTGTTAGGGTTAGGTTACCGCGCGAAAATCTTGGCCTTGGAAGAAACCATAACCTAAAACCTTCGAGAAACATGATTGGACGATTTGCATCAGGCCACTCAGATAACAACGTTTCTCAAATCTAGACTAAAGCACAAAAAACCATGGAAAACCTGCTATTACCACCCTCTAAAATACTGGACTATCCCATAACGTTATTTGTGGTCGGCTAAAAAAAAAGCACACACACACACAACCTAGTGTAAATCCATACTAGAATGGCAAATAAAGACTGAGGTTTGTAATTTGTGTTTTAATACTGTTAGCGACCCTTACATTAGTTTTGTGGACCGGTGAGAAGAACAGTGAACTAAAATAAATTGTACCGTGTATTGTTTGTGTCCGAGCTTTTAAAATTTACAACGGGGGGAAAATACCAATGGTTTGATTATTATCATTGTTGTGGACTGAACCGGGCCACTATGACTAGAGTGACCATACGTCTCGTCTTCACCAGGGCAGACTCGTCGTATAGGTGTTTCCCGGCCGTGTCGGCTTATAGGTGTGCCCCGGCCGTGTCGTCTTATAGGTATGCCCTGGCCGTGCCGTCTTATAGGTGTTTCCCGGCCGTATAGTCTTATAGGTGTGCCCCGGTGTGGCGTCTTATAGGTGTGCCCCGGCCGTGCCGTCTTATAGGTGTGCCCCGGGTGTGCCGTCTTATAGGTGTTCTTCGGGTGTGCCGTCTTATAGGTGTGCCCCGGGTGTGCCGTCTTATAGGTGTGCCCCGGGTGTGCCGTCTTATAGGTATGCCCCGGGTGTGCCGTCTTTTAGGTGTTCTTCGGGTGTGCCGTCTTATAGGTGTGCCCCGGGTGTGCCGTCTTATAGGTATGCCCCGGGTGTGCCGTCTTATAGGTGTGCCCCGGTGTGGCGTCTTATAGGTATGCCCCGGTTGTGCCGTCTTATAGGTGTGCCCCGGTTGTGCCGTTTTATAGGTGTGCCCCGGTTGTGCCGACTTATAGATGTGCCTCAGGTGTGCCGTCTTAAAGGTATGCCCCGGCCGTGTAGTCTTAAAGGTGTGCCCCCACCGTGCCGTCTTATAGGTATGCCCTGGCCGTGCCGTCTTATAGGTATGCCCTGGCTGTGCCGTTTTATAGGTATGCCCTGGCCGTGCCGTTTTATAGGTATGCCCTGGCCCTGCTGTCTTATAGGTATGATCCGGCCGTGCTGTCTTAAAGGTATGATCCGGCCGTGCTGTCTTATAGGTATGATCCGGCCGTGCTGTCTTATAGGTGTGATCCGGCCCTGCTGTCTTATAGGTATGATCCGGCCGTGCCGTCTTATAGGTATGCCCTGGCCGTGCCGTTTTATAGATATGATCCGGCCGTGCCGTCTTATAGGTATGATCCGGCCGTGTCGCCTTATAGGTATGCCCCGGCCATGCCGTTTTATAGGTGTTTTCCGGCAGTGCCTTCTTACAGGTTTGCTCCAGCGTACCGTCTTTTAGGTCGTCTCGTCGGTAGGCCAAAAATATTAGGAAAAAGCTCGAGAATACTAGATAGTGTTATAGTTAGATGTGTAGGCCGTAATAGATTTCATAATTTTAGATGTTAAATTATAATTTATTTTTTTATCCGTGGTTGCTCTACATCTATACACATAATATATATGTTGATATATATATGGCCATACGAACTAAATAAACCACTCACTGTGTTTCCTGAATGCAACACTGAAGCACAACTAAAGCACAAGACGCTACAAACCACAGTGACACAACAAACATCCCGTTGAGCTTTTAACGACATTCCATTTCTCAATGCTCAGTCCTGCCACGTGTCTAACTTTGGACCAATCAATGTTAACCCATGCATTATTCATGCACGTTTCCTTAGAAAGCAGTCAGAAATCCGGTGCTCGGTCTTAGCCAGACAGGGATCGGGACTGGGTTTAGAGTGGTCCAGTGAGGCAGGTCGCTCACTCAAGATAACATATCTCAAGGTGCATTATTTCACCTTACGCAGGGGCACCAATGTAAAGATAACATTGGGAATGGGGCCTAGTGTAGGGTAGGTCTTGGACACGACTTCTTCTTCTGCCTTTCTATCCCCCAATGGAGCATAGGCCCTCAACCAACTCACGCCAAGTCGTTCTATCCTTCGCCATAGCATGGAGCTCTCCCCATGTCCTCCCAATCTTTCTAACCTCGTTCTCCAGCTCTCTTCTCCATGTGTTTTTGGGCCTTCCTTTATTCCTATGCCCCTGTGGGTTCCAATGCAAAGACATTCTATTTATGCTGTTCTCCTGTTTTCTCAGTGTGTGCCCTATCCAACGTGACGTCCTTTTCCTCACCTCCTGATCCACTGGAGCCTGTTTAGTTCTCTCCCAAAGTTTTACATTAGTTATTCTATCATACCATTTTATTCCCTCTATTCTGCGCAGGCACCAGTTAATGAATGTCTGTGTTTATTAGTAATTGCCTTGTTTGTTCTCCATAATTTCCGCCCCATGGCAATGTACTGATTTGACATTAGAATTAAAAATTTTTAGTTTAGTATTTCTTTAATTTCTTTTGACCCCTCACAAATTCCCTAGTGCTATAAAAGCCCCTCTTGCCCTTTGTATTCTTATTTTAGCATCTCTATCAGTTCCTCCTCTTTTATCTACGGTTACTGCCCAAATAGGTGTACGACTCCACGTCTTGGAGTGGGGTGCCATTAAGAGAAACCACATTACTATTTGCCTGATTTATTCTCATTATCTTTGTCTTTTGGACACGACTGGCTCCAGCTAACGGGTCATGCTGCTGACGTCAACGGGTCGGGCTAAAGATGTGGTAACGCAGCGGTTCTAAAACTGGGTGTCGAGGCACCAAGGGGTGCCGTGAGCGTATACCAGGGGTGACGCGGCAATAATCAAGAAAAATCGTGTAAAATTGTAAAATTTTAGATACTTAAAAAGTTAAAATTTAAGTCGTCTTCCCTCGCCATTGTTGA